CGATAGATCCTTAGGCGATGTTTACAAGTTCATCCCTGACTGGAATCTGCGAGATATCACCAATCCGGATTCCAACTATCTGTTGGATTGCCTGAAACATCGCGCGACGAAGTCCTTGTGTGAGCAGTACATCGAAGGTGTCAACGGTGGCCCTGGTGATGCGGCGGTCATATTGAAGAGCATGCAGGTCCATGGTCTTAAACACGTTGAGCCCTTTCGATATAGCTTTACGTTCTTCATGGACGAAGAACGATATGGACAATCCTTTACAGTCTCTGACCGGGAGAAGTATAAAGAAACAATGGCGATGATGAAAGTTGGGGTGGATGCTGGATTGATTGTTCCTCAGTCGACGGGTGAACTTATCCTGGAGAGACAGTCTATCCTATTAACGTCCATGAACATCGTGATCCAGGACATTCTTGAAGCGGGTTCTACCGTTGAGACCAAAGGGCGCTCCAAAAAGTCAGAGAAGGCGGCACGTGAGGCTATGTCCAAACTTACAATCGACCAGAAGCCAGAAAAGCTTTCCTTGGAAGACCTGGCTGCTCTTTCTCTTGACCAGAAGTCAGCTCTGGAGGACTATGTACTTCTATGTCGGACCGAGCCCGAATTTCTTGCTCACGCTGTCAACGCCTGGTTCTTCAGTCGGCCCGAGTTGGTCGCAGACGAGAAAGGCCGAAGATTGCCCTTGATCACAGACAAATATATTAACATCTCATTTTTCGAGATGATCCACAACGCCGTGGTGGGTGCTGCAGTTTGGGGGTATATTCATCAACTACTCCAGGCTCTGGTGACAGGACCAAACGACCGGACCTACAGAAGTTCCTTTCTCCAGGAGCTTGCAAACGTCTGTCATTTCGAGTACCAACGAGTCCAGCGGCTTTTCAAGCGCTTCGTCCAAATGGGTTCTGGCGATAAGCATTTCAAGCGTGTCTCTAGTGTATATGATAATGGCACCGCGCGTGTGACGATGAAAACCAAGCCGGACACTCTTACCAGAACAGATCCGCAACTCAATTACATACTTCGCCTTTGCCAAACCGACACGAATGCCTCACGGGCAGTCGAATGGGTTAGAAAGTTAGACGACCTCCATCAAACACATCCCGCTGAGCAAGATAAGATGGCAGAGAGCGAATTTGACGCTGTCGGCGATCTTGCTGTGACAACCAATTTCGTCCAGTGTCTCTCGACGTCTCTTCCGATGCCGCCAATGAATCCAAAGAAGGGCCAAACTTATATTTCTCGACTAAAGGACCTGGGGTCTGAACTTGACCCGCTAAAGTCTGAGGTTGACTTATCGGCGTTTGCAGTGCCAATCGATAATCTTATGGAGCCAGGAATGGCCGAAGGCGCGCTGACCACCCTTGATGAGTTCATTTCCAACAAAGCAGGGGCAGATATTGGCTTCCTCTATCAGGATCTAAACGAAGAATGTTTGTCGGACCTGCAGAATCAAGCTCAACGGCAGAAGGAGAAGAACGAGCAGATAGCACAGGCTGAGCTTGCTTCGTCAATTCCCGAAGCGCCCAATCGGGAAATCCAAATTGAACAGCGCAAGGAAAAGACCAAAACACGCCCGCCACATTCATCCGTGTACAGTATCGCCCCAACAGCAGCTCCCGCAACGGAACCAGAACCTGCAGCGCCATCCCAAGCATTCAAAGTAAAACCATCCTCCTTAGAGGTATTCTCGACCCTATTCTCCAACCGGAGGCCACGGAGCTCAATCACCTGGGCTGCGTTCCAAGCAGCTATGGCGCACATGCAATTCTCTGTTGTGCCAAAGACTGGGTCGATCTATACCTTTTCTCCACCTGAAGGCTTCAATGTCCAAAAGTCTATCACGCTCCACCGACCGCATCAGTCCCGTATCGAAGGTTGGAGACTTCTTTACTTTGCGAGTCGCCTGAAGAGGAAATATGGATGGGATGAGAAGTCATTCGAGACGGAATGAGGTACCTAGCTATGACCTGCTCTTTGTGGTGAACTCGGTCGTCACCAGAAAGATGAGGAGTCATAGTTCGGATACGCCACGTCTAAATTCTAGATAGCTAGCCCAGATTAGGTAGAATATAACTCTACATAACTTTACAACATAAAATGCGAAAAGGCATTCCGCGCGATGGATGATACATGTCGATTATTTTAGGAGCACCATACATTTACCACAGTTTTAGGACGTGACCAGGCATTTATCCACCTATTTTTGAGCATGACTTACTTCATCGCTCCCAATTCTTTCATACATTACCGTCCTCAGGAAACTTTGTCCATTTTACCCAATAAAGGCCTACTAATACACAAGACACACGAAGCATGATGTAGTAACCATGGTTGAATTATTTACTATTATCCATATGTCCAATACCAGGCTAGACTATATCCACATGCAATGATGACCTCAAGTCATCGAGCACCCAAATCACAGAACGCACCAGCCTATTTGAGTTCCTTAACCCAGAGAGTAACCTTGGGGACAGTGGCGTCCTCTCCAAGGAAGTAGATCTGGTGCTTGTCCTCGGAAAGACCGAAGTTGTTCTGGCCGTTGAAGGTGAGGTAGCCGTCGTCGGTGATGCCCCAGCCGTTGAGCACAGCGCCATCGGGGATAGCAGCAGAGTGAGGGGTGGTCAGGCCAAGAGGCTCAGACTTCCCCGCGATGGCGTAGAGGTTCTGCCAAGAGGTGGGGGGGAGGGCTTGTTGGGTGAAGGTGATGGTTTTGCCGTCCTCGCTTTTCACTGTATGTTTTTAGTTTGGTTCGTGTAGTATTATACTGGATGCGTGAAACATACGGCGGAGGATCTCCAGAGTGGTAGCCTGGGAAGCGTCCACGATGGCGTTGGCTATTTGATGTTAGTCACAATTTCTCCTGAAGGGTTGGGGTAGGGGGTACATACTGTTATCAGTGAGGACGGTGTTGCCGCCGTCAGCGACAAGAGTGAAAGACTTGGGGAGAGTGGCTGCGAGCGCAGCGGTGATGAAGGTGGAAGCGGCGGCGAGAGTGAACTTCATGATGGCGGTTTGGGAGTGGTTTGTTTGTTTCGTGGGTCGACGTCTTGATTGATGGGTTGAGCTTGTGGTTGATGATTTTCCTCGCACCCGGGGAGATTCGCGGGTTTTTATATTCAAAAACAAATAAATGTCGCAATGAGATGCTCGGATGCTGTTTACGAGCTCGTGAGGCTGTAGCGTTGCGCTATTGGGGAGGATATTGGTGCATCGATCCCTGATGCAATCGCTTCGGTGGATGGTGTGGAGAATGTCTCACATCGTTATTCTTAGAGTCGGATCTCGGATAACTACTGCGTTTCTATTAGCCGAATGTTGCATGGTACTCGCATAAATAATCTAATCTTAGGGTACAATGTTGTGAACTTGAGTTGGGCTAGTGGAAGTCCAATGTCTTGTAGGAGGAACAATCACAGCCCAGTTAGATCTAAGATGATATCAACTCTTCCCTCACATTACTTCCGGAGTATGCTGGAGACCCTTGGACTCTGGAGCAGCCCCATGTCGGTTAGAAAGGTTAGGCGATGATCGGCACGGCTTTTCCTCATTCTAAGCTTCCCCATCTCGCTAGTCAATGAGCTAGTCTCACAACCCCGGTGATTTGCCCCACAGATGTCTCACGGAGAAGGTAACTCCCGCCTCATCGCCACAAAACCCAGGTGGCTAATTTAGTACCAATTCGACGGTGTATGATCAATTTCGGTCGTGATTGAGTAGCCGACTGTATAATCACCATGATATAATCCATCACGCCATTGCCTCAGTCAAGCTCCAAGGAATCGCTCAGGGAAAGGGTATTGCTGATAATACGACTCAAAAACGCGATCTAAGACCCAAATTTAGGGATGGATCGGCGTCTTCGTTGGAACTATTGACTGCGATCACCTCACCTGCTCAGCACTTTCGATGCTTCGGAGCTCCGCTGTAGAAACTTCTGCGAAGGTTTTGAGAAAACCGTGGAAAATCAGGTGATATTTATTGCCCTATGAAACATGTGCAGTCATTTATCATCCCAACGCGTTCTTTTCTGGAAGAGAAGTCCAAATGGGGTGCCTGTTGTTTGGTGCTATACATAAAGTAACCACGAGTTCAAAGTGCTCAATTTGTCCATAATATTTTCCTTGGGGTTAAAGAAGAACCAGTTTTGTGTGGCTTCAGCACCAAATCATCGCTAGGAGATGAGATATTGACATGCTGGTGTTCCATTATTGTTTTGGATGCTGCAAGGGCTCTCGACTACGATCTGGGTGGCTGTTAGTGTTGGGACCACATGTATCTATCTATAGGTTCTACTGAAGGCCACAGCGCATGATCGCCATGACAAATGTGCCGTGTCTCATATATATTTTTTTATGAGTATTCTTCGTCCTCGTTGAGTACAGTGTCCCCTGACTATGGTTTATTCGAATGAGTCCGTCTATGTACTGACATAATTTTGATCGTGCATCTTATGGTGCAATTGTTGTTGGAATGAATGTGGAAGTGGTAAATGAATAGCACCAATTGCGATTTTGGATTGCAGATATATGTTGGGGATAAAGTGTACAAGGTACGGCTTTGGTGCCATTGGCATTTTAGTTGAATGGGCATGAAAATATATAGCCATGGAGCAGCAAGAGGGCATCTGTACACGGGTACTGGCACCACTATACCACCTCAACGTGGACGGTCTTAGATAACCTAGTAGTAGGGACCTCGGTAGCCTAAGAATGCATCTTAAACCTTCACTGAGCGAAGGCAAATCGCAACACGCAAAGTGGATTTTGAGTGGCTAGGATCGGACGAGGAGGCGCTTACGACGATGTGTGTCAGATGCGAAAGGTTCGGCTCGAGGGTAACTTCTATTTTCACCTCCAAACCCCTGATGACCTAGTTGGCTATGACACTGTAATGGGAATATACCGCTATTATCAGAAGATCGCTGGCTATTCTGGCTCGGGGGAGAAGGTCCTTTTTCTTTTTCTTTTTTTTTTTTTTTACTCTCTTCCTCGATAGTTTAACGGATGATTTCAGCTTGTCATCTCAGAGAACAAGCGCGGGAGACCTGGTTCGACTCCCAGTCGGGGAGAGTTTATTTTTGCGTAATAGATGCATAACAGATTATAAACAAAACATGGAGGGGGCAGATAATGGCCACAGCCACAAGGACGGTTTACAAAAGCGAGAGATTTCAACGTTGTGGCAGGCGTTTTTAGTTGTGATTTAAAGCTTTTCGTTCATTATCGTTATTTTGTGTGAGATTCAGGCATTCTGCGCCAGAATTCTGCTCCACCAGTGAAGCACCTGCATGGCTAGACGTTCAATAGTTAGGCTCTAACCGGTTAATAAATTTTGACTGACTGATTGGTAACTTCTAATTCCTTTCGAATCAAGCACATGCTTCACGGATATGTTAGTGTTATCCTTTCCCCGTTTTCAATTTTTCTTCACAGAGCGAGGGGCAAGCAAGAAAGGCCTGTCGATCTCTTACAGTTTTGATAGCAATCCTAAAGCGGCAAGGATCAGGGGCGATATGCCAATGGAGTCAAGAACAATGGCCGCTATTATAAGATCTTTCGATGGATGGCTGCGTGTCTATAATTCACAGACAGACCCAGCAATGCAAAGGAGGCAAAATATCAGAATAAGAACCCAGCTTGCAGAACGGCGAAAACCATGCCTCATACAGGCGATGGATATGATCACCAGGGAAGGGACATAGACGATAAGTTGCAGAATTGATATGCCATCTCTCCCGGTCAGATGCATTGTGTGGTAGTCGGCTTTCTTCGAATACAATTCAATGATGATGGAGCAGCAAGAAACAGAGATTTGATCAATGGCAAAATGCAGGATCCGTGGTTATATAGGACTTCCCTTTCTAAACCTCTACTTCTGTTTACTGGACACTGCAAAGAAAGCCGTGTGCTAGACAGTACCAATTTTTAAGGGTGCTCTAATTAATTGCCACTTTTGGCAAGTGTTTCGAAGCTTAGCGTTCATCCCCTTAGTTAGACCGGCAAATTTTCTACCACTGATGCGTTCTATATGTTCCTGGGAGCATGGAACCCACCAGGGCTTGATTGACTGAACTTATTGAAATTCCGAGCAATGTAGACTAGGGGGCTACAACGCTATACTTAATGAGGTAGGTGACTCGAAAATTAGCGTGGATATAAAAGAGCTATTGACTATGGTTGGCTACGATGGCTAGGTGGGTCATCGGTACTTAGATCTACTCGGACATCGTCTGAGATTACTCTACCATGTGGTTACTGTGGTAGGGTATGAAAAGACTGCTAGCCCTGTTATGCACAGCCACAACCCTTCAGTTAGATACTAATACGAACAAGCTCGTGGGTCGGCAGTGTGCACTGATTCCGGAGTATGTAAGCTCTGCAGCTGTTACACTGCATTTAAGGAACGACCTCGATTTTGCGGACCCTGCCGCCTTGCTCCGTGAAAATTGTGCAATCCTCAGGCCGGTCGCGTGTATGTGATATGTACAAGTAACATTCAGAGGGGCTGGAACCACCCATTCTATCCGCGGTGTGACCGGTTCTTCCCTTGTACTATGCACTGGGTGGTTGCCGCTGTCACACATCTAGCTACTTGTCTAGGCAGCATTCAATCCGGGCTGGGATTGAATCTGAGATGCTACGGTTTCGCTGTGTCTTTGATCGCTATAAATAGCGAGTGTCTCATGGGGCGAGCGCATCGCCAGTATGTGGATGATGGTCAGATACTAAGGCACTGAATACAGTTGAACGTAGAGGCGAACTGCTCGATCCGGCATTCGTAGGCAGCGAGCCATTATTTTAGCATTGAGAATCCTCCGGGCATGAGTTGCCTGATAGAGAGCACTCCATCAGGTTTTTATTACATGAACAAAATGATCATGCTGGACATCACACAACTGACGTGTTGCTGATTAGATAGTGGAGAGTGCTTTTAGGTAAATCACGAGAGCAGCATGGTGTTATAGGAGTAATGACTTAGTGCTTCATAATCTTAATTTACGTCTTGATCCTTATATTTAGTCCTGTAGCGTTCGACTATCCCTCTAGCGTAATCCTTCGTGCATTGCGCTGTCAAGAGCTGATTTGCTGAGTGGATTCTAGAGTACCATGGACGTATGACGTCATATCTCGTTGATGCCGCTGCATGGAGATTAAATTGTTATTTTCAGCTCCTAATTAAGCAACATGACATGCTTGGAGAATATAATGGCGGGCTATCTCTGGCATGGCCATCGATCACCTTTTCCAGTCTGTCGTGGTGTGACTGGTTAGGGCTAGTTCAGGCACCCTGCCGTTTCCTTAGCTCTAAACAAAGACCTGTCCCTTCTCTTGTCCAACAAACCCATAGCCCCTCTTTTGACCTGTCACTCTTGATACCTATTAATAGTCGTCGTATAATCTGTCTCGTAGCTTAGAATCCCAATAAGTCATACAGATATTGATCGAGTCTTTCGCAAATGGACCACGTTCTAGAGAGCCACGCGAACAAGGTTCGAATCCGCAAAAGATATTTAAACCTCAACAGGTGAAATGGGTCTGACCGCCAGTCTGCGTAGAAAGAAGAGAGGAGAGCTCCTTCAGAAGGATATGGTATTATTAGCATCAGGCCCTACAGACAATATGCATGTTTTTTATGGGGTTGACCAAACACAGGGCGAGAATAGGCGATCTCGGCAGTGTCGGGAATTTTCAACCTTCGGTTACCTCGGATTCTGAGTCCTTCAGGCCAACCACAATCGTGGCTTTGCTCGCCCGCTCTGAGACTTGCAGAGACTTAACGAATCACCATCGTCTAGTGGGTGTGCCCCTAACATTGGCCTGTATCCCATTTCTCAACAGCATAAAAACCCCCTCTGCCTCCCTCGACTTCGACCAACATCAAGAAGGCAGGTCCAGACTAGAATCGCAAGCACCAGATTAATATCTCTTCAATTTTGCTATAATTGTTTACTTTCATTGAGTCAATATCAACAAGATGAAGGCCCCTTACTTTATCGCTTTTCTTGCCGCCGCCGTCTCGGCGCAGAATGCGTTCATCGGACTTCCCAAGAAAGACCAGGAGATCACTGCAGGAGAAAATCTAGTTGTTCAGGTTCAGCGCCCGGTAAGCTCGGAGCAACATCCCACAGCTATAGCCGAGACTAACTGCCGTATTAGAACTCCTTAACTGGCTCCGAGGAGATGGGTGTCGCAATTGGAGTGGCATCCTGCCCCTCAAGACCCTGTATGGCTCCGAAGGACTCACTGGGCACTCTCCTGTATAACGGGCCCTTCAAGCCCGACTACCACGATAGCTCGCCTCCTTATCAGAACTTCACCGTGACGATTCCAGACTCCATAGCCAAGGGAGACGCACAGATCAACGTCGCCCATGTGGCAATTGTCGGGGTAAGTGTTAACCTCCCACGATCGCATCGATGAGATTAAGGAGCTAATCTGGTCGATTTACAGGCGAGCGCGTGGCCACTCTTGGACCTGCTCAATCAGACTGTTGTTGTTGCTTAGATTTTGTGTGGAGGTTGTCTGCCTGTTCCCGCTTGTATAGGCTCTTCGCGGGAGTGGCGAGTTGTATATTCATTCATTAATTTTCTTTGGATTTAATTTCGTGGCTTTTATTTTGGGATTGTCGGTATTAGTTATTGTGATTTTGAAATTTGCGGAGAATCCTTTAGCCATAAGATCGCCTATTATTAATCTATTTGTTTTTCTCCAGTATTTCCAGGCACGTCGCCATGGGGAAGTAGTGATAGGACTGGGTATTATTCATACGACCAGATGCTATTGATACTCAAACAAATATACGTCCTCCATTTATAGAAAAGAAAATGCCGAGATTGCCAAACCTGTACTTGCAAAACAGTCTAGTGGAGAACAAACTGTCAGTCAGCTCAATCCCCACAATCCTTGAGTTTGATCGAGGTGAGAGACGAGTACCTTATGTTATAGGTCACTCCCTGTAATTGTGCTAAACCTTTACCCTTCTGAGTGACAGTTTGTGCTGTTCAACCCGTGGTATGGGCACATTTGCGGTAGATCAATATGCATATCCTCATTGACTTCTGCTCGGTGACTTATCCACCAATTGATCTGTGCTCTGAACATTCGATCGGCACTAGTTGTATAGTTAAGCGAGGTTTAAACTGGTTTTGACATGGCTTTATAAGCGACTGTACATTGTATATACCATTAGTAGTAAAGAAATATATCTCAAGCAAAACATATATAGTACTGTTACAAAGGTCCATGCCGATCGGACATCTAGTACTCATAACCCAGCGTTCTGAGTTATAAATTCATAAATTCTTCTATGACATGGAGTCCTAGATAGCACCAGGTGAACTTAGTAGTAGCTTAGTAAGGACAATAGCATGATGTTTCGTAGTTAGCGTAGCACTGCAGGAGGGGCTTTCAATTAGGGACATTAAGTTAACAGGAGACTAGTTAATACCGGTAAAGTAGACTACACTAATATCTCATCTGGGTGCTTCCAGGCATGTGATCGTCGACGGGGTTGCTGCCCCGCCAGGTGTTACGAACCAATTTGTCCGAGATAAAATAGTCTTCCAGGCCCCGAATAACACTTACTTGCAGGACCTTTCCACCTCTGTCCCACGTTTGAGACAAACTTTGCAGACCAACATGACTGTTACGACCACTACTCGCCCTACCATCCTTGTCATTCACGGGGCATGGCATCATCCTGAATTTTATGCCCCGTTCTGCAGGGCGTTTGAAGACTTGGGCTACGAAGCAATCTGTCCTCGCCTTGTAACTTGCAACAATGATATACCCCCGACGAAGACGCTGGCAGATGACGTGGCGCTCATCCGTCAGACGGCACAGTCGCTCATCGACGATGGGAAGACTGTTGTTGCCGTGATGCACTCCTATGGCGGGATGGTTGGCACTGATGCCCTACATGGACTGGCGATCAAACGTCTGATCTACATGACTGCTTTTATACCCCCTAGTGGCAACAGCCTCGCGGGTATGTTTGGCGGCCAAGTGCCTCCTTTCATAACAATCGATGTAGGTAGTCGCTTACCTGAACTGATATGCACTCGCTAAT